CTCGGAGGACCTGCCCCCCCTCTCCTCCGTTCTCAGTGACTCCCGATCTTGCGCCGTCTGCTGATTTAATCAGCACCCCTGGTTCCTGTCCTGCCAGGGGCGTTGCCGTGTTGGGTGAAGTGCCCGCCGCTCCAGCCCTGGAGGAGCTCCCTCTGTTCCAGCGGGTCCGCTCCCAGCACTCACACCGTGTTGCTTCAGTCGATTTCTGTCACCGTACCGTGCTTCATACACTATCTTGTCTGGCTTCCCAAGGTGATCTGCTGATTTAATCAGCACCCCTGGTTCCTGTCCTGCCAGGGGCGTTGCCGTGTTGGGTGAAGTGCCCGCCGCTCCAGCCCTGGAGGAGCTCCCTCTGTTCCAGCGGGTCCGCTCCCAGCACTCACACCGTGTTGCTTCAGTCGATTTCTGTCACCGTACCGTGCTTCATACACTATCTTGTCTGGCTTCCCAAGGTGACACGATGCCACATCCTTTTCGTATACCCCCCACATTCGTTTTCTCCTAGAAAATCAGTTACCTTTCCAGAGAAAGTGAATGAGCTAGGCTAATATCATTTACCTTAGATAAAACATCATGTTGTGGTTTATCTTTTCATTCAGCACCACGTCCTTATACTCTACACTGTGGAGAGAAGACAATTTAACGTCTTCCACCTTGTATCTTGGTATTTGTTGCTAGTCTTGCTTCCTCTTCACCTCACATAAATGTTTACATCTTCTCTCAAGGAGACAGGCATTAGGCTCGAGAGCTGCATTAACTCCTACAAGGCAACAAGGCAGCTGCCAACCCGCTAATGAGAGGCAAGGATCACATCAAACGTCTCTGGAAAATTCTCACCGGCACAGCTCAAGGCATTGCCATTCCCGGCTGTCTCTCCCAGATCCATAGCAGGCATGACTGCCTAAAGCAGAGTGGGTATGAGAAGCTATTTCCAGCCCTTGCAGTTCACATTTTCATCCATTAGCTTCTGAAGGCGAGGCTGAGATACTTTCCCACACTGTGAGCTGTGCCAGTCAGGTCTGGTCCCTTACTATATTCTCCAATCCCTGGTGTAAGGATGAAAAAATAACAGTGACACCTTAAACCAATAAAAGCTCTGCTAAGGCTCATTTGGCAGAACCTGCAGCTAGATAAATCTTTCGGGACAGTGGAAATACTGCCAAGATCACGTTTTTATCATCCCTGGGACATGTAACTGGAGGTCATACCCCTTCCTTTGCTGAGGGATTTTTTAAATGTGTTTTTATTAAAAGATTGACTTTTCCTCAGAATAATCAGGATTTATCAGTAGCACAATCTTTGGCTAGTAAGGAAAAAGCAACCCATGCTGCTTTCTGGTCAAGGAGCTCTATATTCAGCTGGTGATAGCATATTGAAACATTTTCCTGCACAGATTAGCTGCATTTATTTAACATCAGTAAGGGGTGCTCTTTAAAAAAAAACGAAACAACTAACACTCACAAACTTATCAGACAGGAAAACCAGATTGAAAGAGCTACATTCCTAAGTCAATAATGAAATTTACATCTGTCTGAATTGAATCAAAAGACAGTGCAGAATTCTTAGAAAAATGTAGTAAGTAGTAAGAGCATTGATGCTCTGTGCATGTCGTGGCACATGTACTTATATTAAGGTATACTCCTTTTCCTAAGATCTTCATTTTATTGGCCAACACAATGCTGAATTCTCCAGTCAAAACGATAGACCTTTAAAGGAAATCTGAGATAAACCTTTTAAAATATGATGTTAGCAAATATATAAAATATTCCAGTTTTTTAGCAGTGTAGAATACAAGTGCTTCTTTTCTGTTTTCTATTGTTAGAATAATGCTTTCAGATGTATCTCTCATGCACCCTAGATATCTTAATCATTGGAACACCATTACATTTGCACAAATAATGTAAGCCTGTA